ATCATCTTGTCTACACAATCTATATTTTTAATATACTGAATATTAAAGTATTTAATCCAAAATTATAAAAAAAAAAAAAATTCGCTCATTCAAGTGTATGTTTGATTTTTCTCATTTCATGTGCACGCACGTGCATACATGAGCATGGTGACCATACCTTCTTGTAGAAGTCCATTACATTTATCTATGTTCTAAATCCCACCCCGTTTGGTTCAAAACTAAGGGAAATATAGCTGTTTAAAGTTTCATCCAATCAGATTGCAGCACATGTACACGCACGTGTATGCATGTGCATGGTGACCATACCTACTTGTAGAAGTCCATTATATCTATCTATGTTCCAAATCCCATCCTGTTTGGTTGAAAACCAAGGGAGTTATACATGTAGCTGTTTAAAGTTTCAGCCAATCAGATTGCAGCGCACGTGCATGCACGTGTTTTCATGATAATTGCTTTATTTCATGTTGTAGGATATCCTGATGCATGGCTATGTTCAAAATTTCAAAGGATTTCGTCAAAAAACAAGAAAGATATTGAGACTTTAGTTGCAGCCAATCAGAGCGAAGTGCACGTGCATGCGCGTGAGATCTTGCTATTTTCACCATGTCGTCATGTCTATACTACTAATATATCCTCACATTATGAGTTTCAAAGCATTTCATTTAAAATAGAACAGTTGTGGCTATATCTATTATATTGGTCATTTCACGTGTTGCACGTGCACGCTCTTGCAAGCACGTGCGCGCAAAATGACCTTGATTCCGCAAATCTACATAACATGTCTACTAACCCTAAAAAGGTTTTACCTACATCGGACGAACAGTTTACAAGATCATTCCCGGACAAAAAAGTTCCAGGAAGAAGAAGAAAAATAATAAAAAATAATAATAACTAGAGCAAAGCTCGTTGCAAAGCAACGAGTGGGTCTTCCTTCCTAGCGATAAGCAAAAGATTAAATGTTTCTGTCTAGATTGTCAACTTTGCTAACATTCTCTTTTTCGATTTGTCTCAGAAACCCTTACTTGAATTCTTTAATTTGGTGTGAGCATGAGGTCTAAAGGGTACTCTCTCTAACAGCATTCTTGAAATCGTATCCACAACAGTTTAACTTCCAATATTATGACTTTTGATATCGGATATATCATGTTTGTGAAACGTGTCATCCCCTGCGAAATGATATTCATGATTTTAAGAACCTTTATGAGTTGTTCATAATTGTTCATGAATGGTTCTTAAAGGATTCTTAACACGTTCATAAAAGTAGTTCATGAATAAAATTCATGAAAAAATTCATAATTCATGGTTCATGAACAAATGATGAACAAATATGAATATTGGTAATTTTCAGTTTAAAGAAAAAAACTTAATAGTTCAAAGTAATGAATGTTCATGAATTTTCATGAAGACTAAAAATGTAAAAATAATTGTCACAAACGATCGCCAGAAAACTCTCATTACTCCCATAATACAACTTTTTCATGCAGATGCAATCGTTGAACAAGCCCCTGATTTAATTAATAACATGCTTTTGTTTTGATTTTGAAAGTATGGGATCAGAGCTGAGTAGGGGAAGATAAGAGGTTAAAATCACTATTTTCTACTCTATGTAATTGATAAATTAGATTCTTCAGGATAATAAAACTTTGTTATGAACTGTCTAGAAGGGAGATTATAATTAAATTATGATCGTAATTTAAGAACACTGCATCAATATTGACAGCATTTTTTTCTCATATTGAATTACTAATGTTTCTTCATCATTTAAATTGTCCAGCTATATTAATATTGTGCTTTAAATTATTTCATTTTTCACGACACAACTTTTTTCGACCGAATTTTCTCTATTTGTCAAACTTTTAACAAGTTGTAAGAAAATGAAACAGACTTTCAGTCTAAGAAAAATTTCATTGTCTTCGTAAAAATGTATCTTAAATTTATTGACAACTAAAAAATTATATCTCTTGTCCGTACTGTACCGTACCATTCTTGGGTCGAAAAGCTTTATATTTTGATGCAGTTATAAGGTCACATTTTTCTGTCGTTCGTGTGTAAATGATACAGCACAGGCTGCATGGTTGTGAAGAAGTTATGACATGAACCACATTCGTATTTTGTAGTATATTTTTCTAATACACTTTTATAGCTCAGGGTACTCAGTTTGAGGGCGAGTGGTTCCAAGAGATATTTGTTCAAATTGTTGTCCTCTGATTATATCAGGAATGGAGGCGGCCATACTTGAATACGAAAACTATGGCTAAACAGGTATAATGTAAAAAAAAATCCAATTCACTAAATGATATAACTTATATTAATTTAAAAAAAATAATTTCAGTGAAAAATCATTCAGATAGTGTTTGTTATTTTTTGTTTAACAAAAATCTTGGCAATTCGAAACTATTTCTTAATTAGCTCTGCATGACACTTTTTAAAAGGCGCAAACTTTGAAACGCGCGAGACGTTGGAAAGTGAATCGGTAGAGTGGGAGGATTATTAGCGTAGTCATTCTTTGTCAACCTTTGAAGAAAATAACAGAATACGAAGAATGAATATCCAGAGGATAAATTTACTTCATAACTGCAGATATTAGTGGTGAGTTACAAAAAAATGGAGGTAATTGCTGAATCTGTGAGATATTTGTCAAGATGTTACTGTCTATTTGTAAGAGTTCAGTTATGTCCTTTTTAATGAAAATTTTGTCAAACTTTGTTATGAGTAAGGATCCAACCAAATTACGTTACATTTAATAATTAAAGATTGAAACATTCATCCTGTTCACCTATAACATCTTGAACATGGCGGGCAAGGGAAACAGGCTAAACTCCCGCTCGGAATGCTTTAAAATATGGCAGTGCCTATGATGCAGAATTAAATGAAACAAATATGCAAAAAAAAAAAACAATTAAGTCTTAAGTTTTCACATTTATGAGCATTTTCAGAAAATCTTTGTTCTTGACTTCTTGTAGGGAAAAGAGAAAGAGATAATGTTGATGAGATGAGAACAGAAGATTAAAAAACTCTGGCTGCCAAAAAAAAAAAGAATATAAAAAATCCAGGCTCTTGAAGAAAAACAAAAGAAAGGAATGAAAATATGAATCGTAATCGATCAAAGGATCCAAGTGATGAAATTCTGAAAATTCCACAGGGAAAGCCAATAAGATTTTTTTATTTGACCACCTCTGCTCAAAACCCTTGAAAGCCCTTTTAGCTGATGCCCTAATTGCTGAACACTTTTCTGCCAGACAGTAAGATTTGGATTAAAAATCATTCCATTTTAGGCATACACTTTGAAATACGCTGAATAAGGAACCCACTCTCCTCTTGACCAAGTAAGGTTAAAGATTCTGCAAAGAGTCGCATTTGAATTGAAATTTTTCATAATTTTACTAGGAATGAACTACATAATTTATTTATTATCGTTATCACTTATCAGAGTTGTTTAGTTTACTTGAACAAAGATTTTGTTACCATGATTGGAAAACAAAAATTCTGTGAAATTTATCTGTCAAGATGCTATTAAAATATTTTCTTTTACAGTTTTTCATTTTGCATAAGTTATTACATTTTTGTTTACAAAAAGCAAGAACATTCATGAATAGTTCATGAACATTCCTAAATAACTTTTACAAATTATTCATGAATAGTTCATGAAAATGCATTGAACCTTTTAATATCATTCATGAACTTTTCTTGAAAGTTCAAGAATATAATTCATGAACTTTTCTTGAAAGTTCAAGAATTATTCTTGATCATTTTGCAGGCATTTAAAAAATCCAAGTTTGTTCATGAACAACAAATAATTCTTGAATATTCTTGAACTTGGTTTTCATGAATAAAATCCATGAAATCATGAGTGTCCAATTTTAACTTCATGGGATCTTCATGAACAATTCATGAGCTGATTCAAGAATATAATTCATGAACTTTTCTTAAAAGTTCAAGAATTATTCTTGATCATTTCGCAGGGGATACTACAGAAACATAAGTGTTTTGCTACATTACCATCTTAAAAATGGCTTTAAAATCATTTAATATACAATATAACTACGTAAATAAAATAAACAAATTATATAATTATTCAAAAAATCCAAATGTATTTACAATAATGATGAACAATCTTCATTAGTTGCAATCAGTAAGTAGAACAATACTTTTATAATAAACGCACAGAAATGTGTTGTGTATGTTTCGAATTTGCAGCTTTCCACTAGCAACTGGTGGTACCTCAATAGGAGTGTAAAATTCTCTGAAAGGTATATTGTAAACATATTACATATGGCTGTGTATTCTTTTTTAGCGGCTTTGGCGGAATGCAGCAATCACTAAATCAAGTACAAAGCTAAAAGTCTTGTACATAAACATAAATAAGAATATCTACGCTAACTTATTCAAAAGTCAATTTCCACCAAATATTGTACAAGCTAAATATTATACATTTACAGCATTAAAGAAACAAATCTCTTTGAAGGTATTGCCCTGCATAAGAACAATTTGAATCCCCTACACTAAGGATGCTCTGTGCCAAGTTTCACTTTGGTTCTGGAAAATGATATTGTGAAATTTTAGACAATGATGATAATGGATAAAATTATGTTTTTAAAAAATTTACTGGTTCCTTTAGCTCAGATGGGCTAATAAATATGCAACAGGCACAGTTTTGCAGTTGACATTGAAATGCGACTGGACACCTCTTCAATCTTGTTTTAGAAAACTACATGTACATGCCCTATGTACTGAATTCCTTGGAATCATACACATGTTTATGCCTTTAATTAGTTGTATGTGCCAAAATAACAATTTTTTTTACATTATACTGTAAAAAATACACATACATGTATTACAAGATCTTCTAATCCTGCTGAAGACAGAGGATCTATCTTAATCATTAGAATAAGTAAGTCTAAACTTTGAAAGGGAAGACCTTAATAAAGAGGTCAACATGCTACACAAACAAAATATTATTATATTTAAAAATAACATTTATTCCAATGTAATTACTGGTACATGTATTTCTGTTACAAAAACTATTTCACTTGAAAAACTGAGAGCAATTGATATGTTCATATTTGTGGATTTATGTTGTCAAATCAAAATTTAAAAATGATACACAGTGTGTTTAAAAATTGTCTTCACAAACCAAAACTTGACTTATTTTCACTATGCTGTTTATTCCATGTCACATCCAAACAGATGATCTTCTGGCAAATCATGGTCATGCTTGGTATCAAAATTCAGTCTTCAGATGAGTCACACCTATCCAAAAGAAATTGAAATTTTTTAATCTATAATTCTTTTACTAATAAAAAGTGCAATTCATGAGATTATAAATTAGATTATCAAATTGAGAGATAAGATATTGTCACATTTTCTGTGTATAATTTGTAAATTTTAATGTACTCTTTCATCAATTAAAAGAAGTTTACACCAATTAAGGCAGTCATTTATGCTATTCCCTAATAAGACAACATACAAGTGCAAAGTAATCATGCACTAGTGGGTTTAGGATAATGTGCTAGAGTATTTATGACAACATACTAGCACGATGTGACAATGTCCTAGCATGTACGTCAGTGATAATATGCCAGCACACTGAATCCAACATGCAGTGAAGCTAACACTCAACAGATTGTTTAAAGTTGTGTTTGCATGATATTTTGTTTTGTGTTAACACAGCAGCGTGTTGTTTAAAGCTGCATTGGAGTGGCAGTCTGTTGAAATTAACATGCTAACACACTGCAACTTCACATCATTGGAACACCATAATTTTAAAACTGACAAACCAATATCTTATGATTACTAACTAGGTAATTGCAACTGTAAATGCTGATTTCATGGTGACAATAATACCGGTAATTCACTGTATATCTGAGAACTGATCAATTATAATAAGGCGTGTCCAGATAGGGCCACTTGCTAAAGCTCAATAGCACTTTCATAAAAGCGTGCCATCTTACCGACACAAAAGACGCCATTAGGCTATCACACAGCTCGCCATCACAACACTGAAAAACACTTTCGCACTAACACAAGTTCGCACCACACGCTGTCACACTAACACACAACACACTGTCACGCTAATACAATTTCACACAACAAAATATCAGGCTAACACGAGTTCACACAACACACTATCATGCTAACACGAATTCACAAACACGCTGTCTCGCTAACACAAGTTCACACAACACGCTGTCTCGCTAACACAAGTTTTACACAACACGCAGTCTCGCTAATACGAGTTCATACAACACACTGTCTAGCTAACAAAAGTACACGCAACACACTGTCACGCTTAGATGAATTCACACAACACACTGTAACGCTAACATGAGTTTACACAACACGCAGTCTCACTAACACGCGTTTACACAATACACTGTCATGCTAACACGAGTTTACACAATACACTGTCACGCTAACACAAATTCACAAAACAGGCTGTCTCACTATTCACTAACACAAGTTCGCACCAAATGCTGTTGCGATAACACACTGTCATCCTAATACCATTTCACACAACACACTGTCATTCTAATACCATTTCACACAACACACTGTCAGGCTAACACGAGTTCACACAACACACTGTCACGCTAACACGAATTCTCAAAACAGGCTGTCTCACTATTCACTAACACAAGTTCGCACCAAACGCTGTTGCGATAACACACTGTCATCCTAATACCATTTCACACAACACACTGTCATCCTAATACCATTTCACACAACACACTGTCAGGCTAACACGAGTTCACACAACACACTGTCACGCTAACACAAATTCAAAAAACATGCAATATCGCTAACACGAGTTCACATAACACGCAGTCTGGCTAACACGAGTTCACACAATATCCAATCTTGCTAACACGAGTTCACACAACACACTATCTCTCTAACACCAGTTCACACGACAAATTTTCAGGATAACAAGTTCACACAACACACTGTCAGGCTAACACGAATTCACACAACATGCTGTCTCGTTAATAAGAATACACACAACACGCTGTCTCGCTAACATGAGTTTACACAACACGCAGTCTCGCTAACACGAGTTTACACAACACGCAGTCTCACTAACACCAGTTTACACAACACGAAGTCTCGCTAATACGAGTTCAATCAACACTCTGTCTAGCTAACACGAGTTTACACAACACACTGTCACACTTACACTTTATACACGATTTTACACAACACGCTGTCCCGCTAACACGAGTTTACGCAACACATTGTCAAGCTAACAAGAATTCACACAACCCACTGTCAGGCTAACACAATTAAGTTCACAAAACACACTGCCTTGCTAACACAAATTCATACAACACACTGTCTCGCTAACACAAGTTCACACAACACACTCACATTGCTGAGTTTAAAGTAAAGGTCTACCCTAATTTGAAGAGGTTTAAAACTAACATATCTCTATATTAGTAAAAAGCCTCAAATTTAAGACAAAAACATTTATGCAGTAATGTTCCTTAACATGCATCTGGCATATAAAATGAATGAGACCTTAAAAACCTCACAGTACATGTTTACTTAGCTAATTAAAGGTCTAAATTGATGCTATTCAACAATATAATATATATCAACATCTCTAAGTATGTGAATGAGTGAAATTCTCAAATAAATATTATAAATCAAAGTATCAATAAGAAGCTGAACCTTACGTTGCAGGTTCCAATCCCATTGCTAAATGCTTTAGACAGGTTACTCCTATGAGACTGCATAAACCAAGATTCTGTGTCACGGTAGGTGTTAGCACAAAATGGATCTCATACTTCTTAAAGGCAATAAGTGCTGAGTACAAGTCTATATTTGCAGCTAATACCATCCCAAGTGGTGGCACCATGAAATGACTGAAAAATGTATGATTAAGGCAAATAAACAAACATTAAACCATTACAGCAGTCTTATCAAACAAAAATGCAAACTTTCTATTATTTCAATTTTTTTAAACAAATTTCTTTTGCAATTTAACTGAGCAATATTTGTTCTTTTTTTGTCAGTAAAGTATGATATTAAATAATTAAGACTTTTTGAGAACATCTATTTATAGCGAGTCCAGACAGCAGCACAAATCCCTGCCCATAATGCGAGCTCTTATGATAACACCTTGGCAAAAGAAGATTGTGACTTGCACATTGCTCCACACAATTTTTCCGCAGTATACTTTGGACACACAGTGCTTAGCTTCTTTAACATGTTTAAGCTACATTCAAAATTCATTTCTATTTAATTTGAATTAGATATCCTTACTCATGTTCACATGGAGCTAATGGGAAGTAATTTAACGAGCAGTGAATTCATTCGAATTAAACATTTGAATAAACTCTCAGTGTGAACATTGAGCATGGATGCACCAAATGTCAAATGCGGCTTGACAAGCACAATCTAAATTAAAACTAAATAAGTATCTGCCCTCACCCTTACAGTCACACTGTCAATATATAATTAGTTGAATATATTCTGTAACATTAAGTGCAGTTTGAATTATAGAGTATGATCACTATGATAGATAGTAGGACTGTTGAAATTACATCCTCAAATTTAATAAAAATAAAATATAAAGCTGTGGGGATTTACAAGGCAAACAGAGAGCGTCTGAACTGTAAAACAGATAATATATCGGTGTGTCTGTGTATTTCTAATAACATCAATGTACGTCACTGTCATGTAATCAGTAGTGTAAATTTTAAGTAATAAAAATATTCTAACCTTCATTCCAATGGTCCAAGCCAATCATACATTAAAATGTCGCCGTCAGCTCTTTCATCACTCGATACAATTATCACTGGGGAATCCGAAGCAGAGTCAAGAGTGTTCATCCTTGTTAATGTGACAGTCAGAATTTCCTCGTAAACAATTCACACAAGATTCTTAGAATATATGAATCGGGATAATTCTGCTTAGAATAATGTTCCAGAGAAGTGACAAAGTACTTCGTAGCTCCAGATTAAATGAGTGTGCATGTCTACAAGCGGATTCTTTGTGAGAAAATGTTCAACTTCACAAATCATTCTATTTTCAGTTTGTAAACCATGACAAACATGTGTCCGACGTCGACTCGAAGGGGCACACTAAAAACGGGATATACTAGAGACCTGATATTTACCTGACGTTTTAATTTTTAATTAAATTGTAATATTGAGTATTTTAAATTACTTATGTACAGACTTTATGACTTCGAGGCATATGCTATACAAAAATTCAATTGTTTGGAACATTTACAGACAAATTTGAATCAGGTCAAATAAGTGTTTAGTACATCGCGTCTTTAGTACCTTCCTATTTCCCACAATGCCGCGCGTTGTTTACAAACAAGCGCGAAAAAATCCTCTAAACTAGGTACTATTTATTGTTGTGTACATCATCACATTTTAAAATTATTTGAATAAAAAGAAAACAAAGAAACACCAAATCAAAACTATATCTTTTAGATGCATCAACTAAAAATGTGCACATGTATGCAGTAAAGGCTTGGCTGGCTATAGTAGACAACTTGTTCCTGAAAGGTTTCTCACATACATGTACTTGTTTTATATAAAAAACAATTAAATATAGCTGGAAGTTTATTTCTTTTTATATCAAATGACAAGATTTTATAAGTTCGAAATTATTTCAGTCAAACTTTTTCATAATATACCAATATTTTTAGCTATCAGAAAAAACGTGTATGAGCTATTAACCCCTAATTATAGGGGCCAGCCCCTTTTCATTAATCTAATATGAAAGCTCTCGTAATTACACACAACTTTTGTTATATATTTCTTACCAAATTATTCTCGGTTCAAAAGTTATTACACAAAAAGTAGCAAAAATTCAAGAAAAAAAATTACTAAAATTTGCCGTTTTATAGCTTCCAAACTTTAGAAAATCAGCTTATAATTTTATCGTTCTGCACATCTACAATGTATTGGCTACAAGTTCTCCAACTTTCGTGTAAATATCCTACGTCGTTCTTGAGATTTTTAGTGGAAACGAGACATCAAAATTATCAATTAAAGGGCAATAACTCACAATTAAAGGCATGCATCAAAAAATTGAAAACAGGTGTAAATAGGTTTAATTACAAGGTATCTAACCTGAAAGTTTCATAAAAATCAGTCCAAAGGTCTTTGAGAAATCGCCTGTCAAAAATCGAGCGGGAAAAAAAAAATAAAATAATAATAAGAAACAGTAGAATAACAGTAGGGTCTTCCGAAGGAAGCGGAAGACCCTAATAATAACTAGTTCTAATTGTAACGGGGACCGTTACAGATGTTCCCCAAACGCTCCCCAACTCCTTTTTTGTGCCAATTTCCTTTAAAACTTTTTTAATATGCTCAGTATTGCAGGATTTCATAAAAGAATTTTAAAAGCTACAATGATAAAAACTTTTTGTCATTTAACGCACTGCACGCAAAAGCACGTGCTTGCACATGCAAGGTGATCATGGCATGTTGCTAAATCATTAACATTTCTTTATATATTCCAAGAACCAATAAAAAATCATAAAATTATTAATGTCACCGTTTTTCAAATATATTGATCATTTTACGCATTGCGCATGCGCAAGTGCATGCAAACACATCCTTGCATTTTATTTTGATAGTTGTATCACGTAGGAATCCATTATACATATTCATGATCATGTTTTGTTGAGAAACAAGAAAGTTATAGGCATTTAAAGTTTCAGCCAATCAGATTGCAGAACACGTGCTTGCGCATGCTTTTATGATAATTCTTATATATCATGCTGTAGATCTTCATAATGTTTGACTATATTCAAAATTTCAAAGGATTTTATTAAAAAACAAGAAAGATATTGAGAAATTAGTTTCAGCCAATCAGAGCGAAGCGCACGTGCATGCGCGTGACATCTTGGTATTTTGACCATGTCATCTTGTCTACGCTACTAATATATCCCTACATTATAAATTTCAAAAGATTTCATCAGAAAATAAAAAAGTTACGGCTATATCCATTATATTGGTCATTTCACGTGTTGCACGTGCGCGCTCTTGCAAGCACGTGCGCGCAAAATGGCATGTTGACAATGTCATCTTATCTATATTTATAATATGTCTCTATATTCTAAATATCAAAGCATTACATCGAAAAATATAAAAGTTACGGCAATTTCAAGTATATTGGTCATTTCACGTGTTGCACGTGCACGCTCTTGCAAGCACGTGCGCGCAAAATGACCTTCGTTCCGCAAATCTACATAACATGCCTACTTACCCTAAAAAGGTTTCACCTAAGTCGGATGTGTAGTTTACAAGATCACTCGCGGACAAAATTTTCCCAGGAAGAAAAATAATAAGAATAATAATAACTAGTGCTAATTGTAACGGGGACCGTTACAGATGTTCCCCAAACGCTCCCCAACTCCCTTTTGGTGCCATATTCCCTGTAAGCTTCATTAAATAGGACAATATCTATGCATTTGAGACTTTAACAACGCCAAGTTCATTCAAATTTTAGCATTGCATGCGTGCGCATGTGAATACACGTGCGTTATGACCATATCATCTTGTCTACACAATCTACATGTATATATTTTTTTATATGCTAAATATTAAAGTATTTAACCCAAAAGTATTAAAAATTACGCTCATTCTAGTGTATTTTTGATTTTACTCATTTCACGTGCACGCACGTGCATACATGAGCATGGTGACCATACCTTCTTGTAGTAGTCCATTACATCTATCTATGTTCTAAATCCCACCCCGTTTGGTTGAGAACCAAGGGAGTTATAGCTGTTTAAAGTTTCAGCCAATCAGATTACAGCGCACGTACACGAACGTGTATGCATGTGCATAGTGACGATACCTTCTTTTAGAAGTTCATTATATCTATCTATGTTCCAAATTCCATCCTGTTTGGTTGAAAACCGAGGGAGTTATAGCTATTCAAAGTTTAAGCCAATCAGATTGCAGCACACGTGCATGCACGTGTTTTCATGATAACTGCTATATATCATGTTGTAGGATATCTTAATGCATGGCTATGTTCAAAATTTCATAGGATTTCGTCGAAAAACAAGAAAGATATGGAGACTTTAGTTTCAGCCAATCAGAGCGAAGCGCACGTGCATGCACGTGAGGTCTTGCTATTTTGACCATGTCATCTTGTCTACGCTACTAATATATCCTTACATTATAAATTTCAAAAGATTTCATCAAAAAATAGAAAAGTTACGGCTTTATCCAATATATTGGTCATTTCACGTGTTGCACGTGCGCGCTATTGCAAGCACGTGCGCGCAAAATGGCATGTTGACAATGTCATCTTATCTACATTTATAATATGTCTATATATTCTAAATATCAAAGCATCACATCAAAAAATGTAAAAGTTACGGCAATTTCAAGTATATTGGTCATTTCACGTGTTGCACGTGCGCGCTCTTGCAAGCACGTGCGCGCAAAATGACCTTCGTTCCGCAAATCTACATAACATGCCTACTTACCCTAAAAAGGTTTCCCCTTAATCGGATGTGTACTTTACAAGATCATTCGCGGACAAAATTTTCCCGAGAAGAAAAATAATAATAATAAGAAACAGAGTAAAAACAATATGTTCCCCAACTTCGTTTGGGGAACATAACTAGTGCTAATTGTAACGGGGACCGTTACAGATGTTCCCCAAACGCTCCCCAACTCCCTTTTAGTGCCATATTCCCTGTAATATACTATATATGAAAGCATTCAGTCCAAAAATTTTAAAAATCACTCATACAAGTGTATTTCTAATTTCATTCGTTCCAAATGCACGCACGTGCGTGCACATGCATGATGACCATACTTTCTTGTAGGAGTCCCTTATATTTATCTATGTTCTGAATCCCATCCTGTTTGGTTGAAAAACAGGGGAGTTATAGCCATTTCAAGTTTCAGCCAATCAGATTGCAGCACACGTGCATGCGCGTGATTTCATGATTTTTTTTCTATATCGCATTGTAGGATATCCTAATGAATGACTATGTTTTAAATTTCAAAGCATTTCGTCAAAAAACAAAGGAGATATAGTCATTTAAAGTTTCAGCCAATCAGATCGCAGCACACGTGCATGCGCGTAATTTCTTGAAATTTTTTGTATATCATATTGCAGGACATCCTAATGTATGATTATGTTTTAAATTTCAAAGCATTTCGTCAAAAAACAAAGGCGATATAGTCATTTAAACTGTCAGCCAATCAGATTGCAGCACACGTGCATGCGCGTGATTTCATGAACTTTTTTCTATATCATATTGTAGGATATCCTAATTCATGACTATGTTTTAAATTTCAAAGCATTTCGTCAAAAAACAGAGATGATACTGAGATTTTTGTTTTAGCCAATCAGAGCGCAGCACACGTGCATGCGCGTGAGTTCGTGCTAATTTGACAGTGTCACATTATCTACACTATTAATATATCTTTATATAATGAGTTTCAAATCATTTCATTAAAAAATGTAAAAGTTATAGCTATATTAAGTATATAAGTCATTTCACGTGTTGCACGCGCCCGCACGTGCAGGCGTATGCGCGCAAAATGACCTTCGTTCCGCACACCTACACTACACACCTATTAACCCTAAAAAGGTTTTAGGTCAGTTGGGTGAACAGTTTCTGAGAACACTTCCGGACATAAAAGTACCGGAGAACAAATAAGAAAAAAAAGAATAATAATAATAATAATAATAATAAGAAACCGAGTAAAAACAATATGTTCCCAAACTCCGTTTGGGGAACATAATAAGAAACAGAGTAAAAACAATATGTTCCCCAACTTCGTTTGGGGAACATAACTAGTGCTAATTGTAACGGGGACCGTTACAGATGTTCCCCAAACGCTCCCCAACTCCTTTTTGGTGCCATATTCCCTGTAAGCTTCATTAAATAAGACAAACTCTGTGCATTTTGACTTTAACAATGTTTTCTCAGAAGGATACCAATTATATTGAAATTTTAGCATTGCACCCGTGCGCATATGAATGAATGTGCGTTATGATCATATCATCTTCTCTACACTATCTACATATTTTAATATACAATATATTAAAGCATTCAGTCCAAAAGTATGAAAAATCACTCTTTTCAAGTGTATTTTTCATTTCACTCGTTCCAAATGCACGCACGTGCGTGCACGTGCATGATGACCATAACTTCTTGTAA